CTGCTTCCTGGGCTGGGCTGGGCTGGACTCGGGCACTCTTTTTGGTTTTCTGTGGGAGTAGCCCCAACTGTCACCGTTGCTGATTGCCGGTGGCTGCCACCGATGCCACTGGAGTCGCTGTTGTGTAGATTAGCGAGAAGCGATAAACACACATAAGCTCAAGCTCAAATAAATTGCAAAGAAAGTGGATGCTGAACATCCCCTGCCTCTTCCAGCTTCGGTCGCGTGCGTAAGCAATTACATGGCTGAGGTGGAGTCAGTGCCAGCCAAGAGGTGAGCTGGGGTGGAGCTGCAGCAGCGTGTGGCATGTGTGTATGTGCATCTTGCGGTTAGCTTTGACATTTGAACGCCTGACCCTGACCCACAAAAGAGACACACACCAGGAGGGGGGGTGGAAAACAGAAAAGAAAATCGCTATGAAGTCAATCACTTGCTGGCACTGGATTTTCGTAGCTTTTGCCTGCTTATCCTGCTCCTCTGTCTTCTTTTGCTCTTTCTTCTGCTGGTATTTCTTTTCATTACCATTTTTCTTTGTCTTGTTTTGGCCGCTGCTGCTGCTGCTGCTGCTGCTGTGCCCCCAAGGTTAACGGCGCAAACATCGTCGGCCAAATGGATTCAACCAAAATGAAATGGAACAGAGCGTGTAGTGTGGAGTGTGCAGAGCGTAGGATCGTCATGGATCTGTGGCCCGAACAGCGGCTAGAGATGGACAAGTGACAGGCCGCAAAAAACTCTCGAGTGGGGAACGGAACTAAGGGAAATCTGGCTGAGACGTTGCCAAGTTAGTTATAGTGAAAGATTCTTTATTATTTTTGAGATTTTTCACTAGAACATGCTCTAAATATTTATCCTTTGTCTCTCTTCCAAACATTTACACCCCCTAAATAAAATGTAATACAAATCGGGCGAGTAGTGTCTATGTTTTTGCTGTATTCTTGCGCTCTCACGCTCCGATTTGGTTGTGAAGATGGTGGGGACCGGAGCGACAGACCCTCTCTAGGCCCATGGGGCACATCGGCGCTGACTTTGTTCTTCACTTCTCGCGCTGCCAAACCCAAGACGTCACTCCAAAAAGGCCAAACACTCGGCTGAGCTGTTGTGGCTTAGACTGAGTTGCCGTTGAGTAGCCGGAGCCAGGCGGCACTCTGCCACTCTGCCACTCTGCCACTTGGCAGCGGATCCGCATCGGCACCGGCTCGGCTCTCTGACAGCCGCTTGGCATATTCATTTTTATGGGCTCAAGACGGGACACAGCTGCATTCTTAGAAGTCAGAGCCATGACCGCCCCGAAAACATGTTGCTCCCCCTCCCTCTTGCCTCTTGCGGTATTTTGTGGCTGATTGAAGAGACGTTCCAAGCAGCTCGTTCTTTGGCCATTTCGTAAGGGCGTTGCAGCGCGCTTTTGATTACAAATTGAATTTTATTGGCTTGCCTTTGATTTATGATTTTTCTACAACAATTTCGAGCTTAGAACTCGCGACTCGTGGGGTTTTTTATTATATTTTTTTTAATTAAGTCCAAGTGTCAATATGATTTATGTTGCCACAACACACACACACCAGACACCAGGCACAAATCTATAATTATAATTAAAAGAAATGAAAGAGATGGGAAATGATCTTTCCTACGGCTTCCCCTTGGGCCAAGGAGCAGGAACAGGAGTGGGAGCACATTGCGTGCGATTGCATTACGAGTGAAATTTGCCAGCTTTTTGCCAAGAAAGATCTTGAGATATTGATAACCTTTTTGTCTAGGTTTTGGGTTGCTGTCTCCGCCAGAGACACACTCTCCAGCGCTGATGCCGCTGCTGACATCATCGAAGAGCCAGAGCCAGAGCCAAGCTGGCAATTTCATTGAATGCCACCATGGCATCGCATCTCCATCCGTTTGGGTTGGTTTTGATTACATAAATTTGGCGCCAACGCTGCGATCGCAGAGCGCTGCGATGGATGCAGAGCGTTGCACGCGGTTCCATTTGCATCTTCAAAGCTGCGGCCTGCTGCCACTCGAAATGTGGGTCAGTCTTCAGAGGTCTTTGGGGCTCTTCGATATGGGTGCGGCACTGGACATTTGCCATATGTAATTACAATAACTGAAACAACTGCAACGACTGCCACATCCAATGCAAACAACAACGGAACGTATCTGTAGCTGTGCGGCTCTTGTATCTGTATCTGCATCTGCATCTGTGTCTGTGTCTGGCTGTGTTGCCTTTTGTATCTGCATCAAAGTAAAATGTCTCGCAAAACCTGTCGCTTTTAATTAAAGGCTGCAGCAAACTCTAAGTAACTTTTCATGTTTTCCCCCAGAGCAGCGAAGTACGCGTAGCTGCCACTGTCGCCCCAACATCAAAATAACTTTTGCATTTAGTCATAACTGCATTTAAAATGCTTCAACTGCCGTCCGTCTCTCTGTGTGCTACGTTATTGTTGCATGTAAATATGGTAAACAAAAAAAAGGAACACAAAAAGGCACAAAAATCTCTGGGACTGGGCTTTGGGCTGGCACTGAGGCTGAGCCTGAGCCTGAGCCTGAGTCTTTTTGGTTTGTCGACCCACTTCTGTCATGTTGCACGATAAATACGCGGCAGATTTATTGTTTGCCACTGTGGCAGGCATAATTACAATTTATGCCCAAGGTGGTCGCCACATACATGCAGCACCTTGTGCAATAGATTCCCCACAGAAACCTTCCCAGATGCCAGCTCTTTTTAGCCAAGTTCAAAGCTTGTTTGAGGAAGCTGTCGCCAGAGACAAAGAAGTCTGTCTTGACTGTCTCTCCCTCTGTACGCTGTTTACCTGTCTCATAGTTGCCATTATTCTTGCCTGAATCGAAAGTGAACACCAAAAACAATACTGCCAGAGACTCAAGGTAAAGACAAAGGTCGAACATGGCAATACCCTGAGTTATAAACGAGAGGGCGTGAGATTTTCGACCCATAATATAATGCCAGCAACTGCGGAAGTTAGAACATTGAGTGATCACTGAGTGATCATTTAGATATCATTCAGTAATCATTCAGTAATAGTTCAGTAGGCGATTATTAAGTGATTTTGGGGAATTTAAGAAGTGATCATTAAGTGATCAGTGGTTGATCAGTTACTGATCAGCAATTAAATGCCTTTCATTGTCGTTTTGCCAACTGCTAGAGACTGAAAGAGAGAGAGATTCTCTACCTAAAATACAATTTTGAGCATTAAGTGATCATTAAGGGATCATTTAGTTATCATTAAATTGCCTGCAAATAGGTTTCATTATCATTCTGTCAACTGCTCGATCTAGCTAAAGTACCGCGTGGCATCTGTGGCTTCTGTGGCATTCCATGTACATCAAGAGGCGAAAAAACTTTCGCATAGTGCCGGCAGCATTACATCATGTGAGAGAGTCAGGTAGAGTCGCGTAGAGTCTAGAGTCTTGAGTCTCTGAGCACTTTTCGGGGTCTATTGTTGAGCACATAATTAAGCACCGCTTAGCTTATGTAATTAATGTCAAGCCAAATGGCAGGCAGCACCAGTCAAGAGCCAAAGACAGCGTCGTCAGGTCGAGAGTCTAATGAACCAACTCAACTCCCCCTCCGCCTGACGCACAGACAGGCTGATCCATGGTGCAGCTGCGTGTGGTGTGTGTGCTGATTTATATGCGACTTTTCGTGCTTATTTGTGTATATCTGAGGCTCTCAAAATTGTGTTTTGTCACCGTCAACGTTCAACGTCGTCAACGTCGCCGCTTCGATCGCGCACTTAAACTTCATTTATGCTCCAGAGGCGAGGGTACTCCAGTTGTTTCCATGTGACATAAGTTTGCCGGGTGTACTCGTACGTACGTATATATTTGCCAATGATATATGAATATGACAAAGCGACATGGACAACTTTATTGGCTCATGAAAAGCGCTGTCACTGCGCTCCGCTGACTGACATAAATCACAGCGCATAAATAGGCACTCACTCAGCGCCACAAGAGTCGCAGGCGCAGCCGCAGATCTCTCGAGAAATCCGAAAGCCGATGCGATATCCCCCAAAAAAAACTGTGAAATAAATCAAAAATCAATTTTCGTAGATTTTAGGCGAATGGCAAAAAGAACGGCAAACAGAGATCTGGCCCAATGTTGGCTGTCATCTCTGAGGGACACTCTGAGGCACCCAAACGACGATGATGTGGCAGTGTCGTGTGGGTCTGCGGCACAGTTCCTAACAAATTTGCATATTAGAGAATAGATTTGGCCTTCTCTTATCTGACTTTTGGGGCACTGTCAAGCCGGCCGGATGTTTCGCTTCATTCATGTGTGGGGCACACAAAAAGTGTGTGTTTGACTTGGGTGGAGAAATTGGAGCAACAAATGGACACATCGCACAATGTTCTATAAATAATAACTGAGTGCCGCGACTGACCCTACATGTACAGGTGTGGGGAATCGGACTGGACACGCCACGGCTGGACACGCTACCCAAGCCCATGGAGTACGAGTGGGCATATGTTGAAAAAACCAAAAAGTTAGAGTACAAAATGCTATACGAATTATTTGCAACTCTTCTCTATTCAATTCGGAACTATGTAAATCCAACGTTTGATATGAAATTCTTTGCTGCTTAAAGTTCATCCTTTTGCCTATCTTTTTGCGCCAAGTGCCGCTCAATCTGCCAGTGTATCCTAAGGCCATCTGTTGCCCTAAAAGCTACAAATTTACAATTTACAGTCCCTGGAACCCTGTTTAGCATTTGGCCTATGCAATAACTGCGGCAAGTCGTGGCCCAAGTGTGCGCCCCAACGCGCATGACCTCAACAATTTGGCTTCACTTGAAGCCAAGCCAAGTGCAAACGCACATGCAAACCCACACTTGGGGCCAGGCTCTGGTGCGGTCCTGTTGCGTGCCCCGTTGCAAAATGGGCAAATGAGGCACGGAGCATGGGGCATACCTGGAGTGCTGGCTGGTACTGACCCTTCACTTTATAGCTGGAAACTGTTTTGGGTCAGTGTTCAGTTGCGTGGAGTTCGTGACCAAAGGCGGGCGTACTTTGTTTTTTCGTACTCAATTCATATTTAATAAATCTGCCAATTGCCGTTCTATATAGCCATCGATACGAGTGGGCGCGATATCTATCGCTACGTTACAGCATGAAGCAACAGCAACAGCAACAGCAACATTGAGCAGCCATCTGTGCCCCCCCACAGGAGTCATGGGCTGTGCAGGCAGCACTCCCATGGTTGCAACGGCGGGCAGCGAAATGCTGAAAGCCGCCACCCATGTACGGGAGAAGGGCGAGGCCGTTGTGGAAGGTACGTACGTACGAGTGTGGGTTTGTTTTGGACTGGCAGATGACATTTACGAGTTGGTAATCGAAAGTGCAAAGCTAAATATGTGTTTGTGTTCGATGGTGTCGTCCTTGAAACGTTAACATTTCCTCATGTGAATCAAATCAGAATTGTGCAGCTAATTAATCAAGAACAAAGCGATACAAAGGGAAAGGCATTTAGACTGAAAATGAATAGAGAACTATGCCAGAGGGCAGGAGATCCTTAGAGGCATTTATGCTCAGTGTGTAAGCAGCTCCTACAAAAGGATTTGCCATTCAAGAATATTCCTCAGGCTACCAGCTACATTTTAGCCACACCTTGACACTGATTCCCAAGCACTTTGTTCCTGGATTTTCCCCCAGTGCATTGCTGTGCTTTTATTTCTTATATTATTATAATAACAAGCCACGTAATAAAGGATGCGTGTCGCAGTGCCTTTCTTTGGGCCTGCTTAGTGGCCATTACTTTGCCACAGGGTCCATGGGGGCCACGGGTCCATATTAAAAGCATATGAAGAAAAACGAGCTGGTTGCGTGACCGGCAGCGTGCCGTGAACCGTCAGCGAATTAGAGCAAAAACATTGACTTAAAAATATTATATGTACATGGTACATACATTTTACATACATAAATGAAAGTGTTTTCCCCTCCTTTACCTCAGATGCCAGTCAGACGCTGTCGAGCGGCCTGGACACGGCCAAGGAGACGGTGGGCGCTGCCGTTGCGGGCATTACCAACGATCTGGGCAACGCCTTCAAGGACGGCACACACGCCCTGGACGAGGCCAAGCACAGGGTGTTGGAGGGACTGCACCTGGAACAGCCCGCAGCCCAGGAAGAGGAGCAGGCGCCGGAGTCTGTCGAGGTCATGGCCGAGCTGAGCTCATCGCGAGCTCCAACGCCAACGCCGCAGTTGCAGGCCGTGGATACGGACAGCCTGAAGACCTCCACACCAGAGCCAGAGATTGAGCGTGCGCTGGCCAACGATGAGGAGAGTCCGCCCACGCCGCAGCCATCGCTGCAGGAGCTGGCACATCTGAGTGAAGTGGTGGAGGCGATTACCGAAGCTCACCCAGCCACTGAGGCAGCAGCGATGCCCGCTCCTCCTGCCATCGAGGCTGCAGCAGCTCCAGCTTCAGTTACCCCTGCGCCCGTGGAGTAAGTACGCGTAGAGGTAGAGCACCACTTAGCTCCCCCGTAGAGCCCCTAGAGCCCCTAGAGCCCCTAGAGCCAATGCACCCTGAAGTACTCGTACCCGTACCCGCATTCCGCTTATGATTCGTAGTTCTCGTCGTAGTTAAACCCGATCTTCTAGTACTTATAACCAACATTATAACTCTCTTCCCTCTTCTCTCTCTCTTGACTTGTATGTATGTAAATTTTGTAAATAAACTTTATTTATTTCTATGTACATATCATAAATACTCTCTGAACTTTGTTTCCTTGCGCTGGCGACCAGCCAAACCCAAGCAAGACTCAAAAACTAACAAGAAAAGCAAACAGCAAACAGCAACAGCAAAGTCTTGTACGTAGTAGTGTGGTAATATAAATAATATTTCATAGATAAGACACCTAAAACGCTTGTCGATTCGGTGCACCGAATGGAGAAATGCTCTGGCGAAACTTTAGCGGGAAGCGGCAGAATTCTGGGGAAGATCTTTTACATAAAATATTGAATTTATTGTCCGAAAACTGCATCATGAGATCTTGAACACCTGTGGCTATTTTTGCCACTAAATATAAAATTTTTAAAAATAATTTAAGACAAGACAAACTCTAGAAAACTTCAATTTTGAGGGAGCATTTCTTGCGATATAATCATTGTAGCTACACAAAACAAAAAACCTACGAAACTTCACAGTATTATCTTTATAGTCCATTAAGTTTTAGAACATTAACACGGAAAATGTCGAATGAAAACTATAGAAGCGCGCAAAGCCACCCAAATGCATATTTTAATTCTTAAAAAATACTTTCCTGGCCTTCAACTTGGTTTTTGCACAAAATCCAAATCGTTGTATAGAAAAACGAGTATATAGACTGAAAGTTGAGTACATTTCCTGCCTTATCTGTATATTTTCGCTCTAGAAAGTTTCTCCAGAGTTGACCGAACACCAACACTCACATCTAACCCTATCTACACCCACAACACACACTCCACCCACCCAAATCAAACAAAATCGAATCTGGCATTAACAAACTCCTAACTAACACACCCACACACACACTCCAACCCGCTCCCTGACACCCATCCTCCTCCAGAGGCCGCTGGTTTCGGCGCAGAGTCTCCAGGCAGGAGCCAGAGCCACCTCGGCCAAACACCACCGAGTGGGAAAAGTTTGCCGATCACCTGGCCAAAAACAAGAGGTACAGACCCTACGAGAGCTTTGCACACAACCAGAACCACTTCTCCGTGTACAAGGATCACACGAGCCTGCGGGACAAGCCCGGCCACACCGATGGACACTTTAGTGGCGGCAACTCGCTGTCCAGCACCTCCCAGTCGGATCTCTCCAGCGGCCACGTGACGCCGGCCATGAGCCGCAAGGGCCAGCGGGAGTTTGCCAAGTTCGTGGCCTCCGAGGGGCCGACGAGTGTGTCCAGGGCCAGTTCACGGATCTCGAATGCCGGCAGCTCCAGGACCTTTGACTTTAATCCAACACGCGATCGGATCAGTGTCTTTGAGGCCATGAGCGGCAGTCGCAGTCGCAGTCGCAGTCGCGTGGGTTCGGCCATTCAGAGAGCGCCCGCGGAACGAATATCCCTCTGGGGCAAGCACGCTGCCGTCGCCGAGGAGGAGCCACCTCCCACAGGACTTGGTAGGAGAATGAGCACGGGCATGAGCAGCCAGAGCGTGCTGCGAGCTCCCACGGAGTACAACAATCCCTACAGCATTCGTCGGGCTGTCCGGCCTGTATCCCAAACGAGGAGCAATCGGATGGAAAAGCAAACTTCCTCCGTGACGCCCAGAAAGGTGCAAGCTGCAAAAAGAATTCCCACCAGCGATCCATTGCACAGAGAGGAGAATACGCCAAGGAGGAGTCAGGAGGAGACTGCAGCTCAGATACCACTGCCCCTGGAGGAGCCACTAGAGAAGCCACAGAGGAGTCTAAGAACCCTACAGATTCCTACACCTCTAGAGGAGATAGCAACCGATCTCAGCCCGAGTCCCACAGAAGATGATTCTTCAATTCAAACGCTGCCAATGCATCAAGGGAAACCCGCTCCACCTCAGACACAAAACACAGAAGCAGCTGCCACACCAAAGATGCAGTCGTCGACCTCCAATTGGAAGTCACCTCTTACCCCGAAAGTGCGAACAACTTCCACGCGGAGGAACCAGTCACCCACCAATGAGGGAATGATTACACCTTCCACATCCAAGATGGATTGCCCTTCTACTTCCAGAATGGAAACACCTTCCACTACAAGAACTCTGTCACCAGGTAGTCCGAGAATGGAGTCACCAACCAACCCAAGAAGGCAGTCTCCTTCCTCCACTCCAAGGAAAAATGCATCTTCCACTCCAAAGTCACCTTCTCCTGCCACCGCCAGGCTGCCCTCCCCATCTCCCTCCCGCGCATCGACAGCCAAATCCTCAGACAGCAGCCTGGACGTGGTTATCCGACCCATGAGCAAACTCAACACGCCCAGCACGAAGTCCCTGACGCCCGACCAGGTGGTAATGACGGAGTACGAAGATGACGCCTTGGAGGCGGCCCTGGCCAATTTGCAGCTGTTGCGCGGATCAACGATCACGCTCAACTCCCTACGATCCTGCAGCCCCACCGCCTCTCTGCTGAGTTCGCGAAGGACTTCCCCGTGGGTCATGCGCAAGGACTATGGCCAATCGAAGGGCAAAGAGAACAAACCATCGACTGCAGTGCCAGCAAGTGCCCCAAAGGCCACCCACTTGATGCAAACACACGAAAGGTGCGACATTTGCTCGAATGAATTTGTGCTGCATTGAAGGCTGCAGGACATACTTTCGTCCTGCCACAAAATTAGTAAATTAGTAATAGTCGGAAAAAGTTTATTTTTTGTTTATTTTTTTTTTTAGGAATAATTTTTTATTTTTTTATTTTTTAATTCTTTTTTTTATTTTTTTAATTTTAAAACTTTTTTTTAAGCTATTTTATGTATTTATGTTTTTTATTTTTAAACAATTTTATTTTAAAGATTTTTTATTTTTTTACCTTTGAAAGTTTTTAAACATTTCTTTATTTGGGTTAAAAGTGTTTTTTTCACTATCTTTTTTACGTTATGACCCTATGGCTAATATGGCTAATTCCATAGAAAAAACCAGTGACGTCTGTGAAATATTTACTCTTCCCTGTTGCGGCCCAGCTGCATTACCCTCATTCGGGACGTCCCCTACAAGGAGAAATCTTAGTTCAGCTCTCGTGATCTTCCCTACATATTCATATGTACATTTGTACATGTAGTTATGTATGTACATACATATCTGTACATTACGCTCTTGCTTTTATCAGTGTCCGATTTCTGATTATATTAACTGTTTGTTATCTACTTATAAGCAGGTGAAAACAAGTCTCACCATCTACTGCCATTTGCTAACCTATTTCTGGTATATAATAGACACATTTTAAATATAAAATTAACGCAATTCCCCAATCTCTTCAAATTTGACTCACTATTTGCCAACATACAAATAGTAAAAGCAGTTGGAAATAATTTAAATAAATATTTTAATATCTAATATTTTAAGAAATAATTTCATAATTTATTTTCAGCGAATGAAACTTGTTTCTTATTTTATATCTACAATAATTTGATCCCATTTTGATGTCAAGGAAAATATTGCAATATTACAATATTACATTTTTAGAGCGCCTTCAACCCAACGACTTAAATGCCATACCAGAAATAAAGAAGTTTGTAATAATTTATAAAATTTCAGCCAATTCCCAGCGATAAATTCACTCTACCCAAAAGACAGCCAAAAATCAAAAAGTACGATACCTCGAGTCTGATTTCGATTTGTCTAATTGATGACTTAATAACCAAAATTGAAATGTTTATCTTGCCGTTCGCTCAATTATTCTGCCACTTTGAGAGAGCGAGTCGATCCGAGCCGATTCGGGGTTCAGTTAACGGGCACACGTTCCGTGATATTCCATGATTCCATATGGCTTCCATGTCTGCCCGTCCCCATCCGTGACTTAATGAACTATTAACAGCAATGATAGTAATTTGTTGTGGACTCCAACGCCACCGAAACCGCAGCACCAGCAGCAACAAATGAAATTGCTTTTGGGCAAAGTGTCCAAATGGAAAAGGAAAGTCTAAGTGTGGATACACTTGCAGCTAGATTTTGAACAGCAGAGAAAAGTACAAAAGAAATCCTGCAACATATTTTAAAACTCAAAATCATGGGACCTTTTGCTAGTGTAGCAAACAACAATGTTGTCTTCGTGGCACTTTTTGGCAAGCAAATAGACAATTCAGCAAAGCGACATGCAGACAAATGATTGCAGCGGGACTGCGACTGGGACTGGGACTGGGTGCAGGACCACAGCCTAGGCCAGAAGTCCGGACAGACAGATGTATGCATATACATACGAGGCATATTTTTGCGTGGGTGTCTGTGTCTCTCTCGAGGCACCTGCAGTTGTGCAAATTGAGTTTGGCTCTGAGTTCGACTCCGACTCCGACTCTGCCTCTGCCTCTGGCTGTGGCATCTATTTTGGCACGATTTTCAAATTACGTACATTGACTCGCAAAATGTTTGGTTTATGCCGCAATTAATCTCAAAGCGGAAGAAGCAGTGCCCCCAAGTGTACACCGCTCAAAGTTGAAGGTCTTCTGCGGCCAGGCGTGACATTGAAAGTGAAAGAACAAGTTTTTTTTTGTCCATTTTGTGTGTGTGTGTGTGTGTGCCTGGCATTTCTATTTTAATGACTTGTACATGGGCATTCGTCGACGAGTGTCTGGGTGGCTGCCGGTTCATTGAACGCTCAGAGAGCCACGCACCCAGCGACCAGCCGCTAATGATCTCTGAGGTGTGTGAGTGTTTGTAGTGCTTTTACTTTCATTTGTATCACAAAATGAAGGCAAAGGGCCAGGGGCATAGCCTTAACAGTTGGTGGGTACATGGGCAAACAACTCCCCACAGAAGCAACAACAAATCTCCAAACATTTTCGCATTTTTCATCCATTTTTGGATACCTTTTGCCCGAAATTGCACTCAAAGTGTATTCAAATCTTCGGCCCCGACACGAAAGTTTATCTCTCTTGTTAGCACTTCATTTTGTGGTTTGCTGTTAGCTGAAATGTTTGTGGTAAAACGTGCTTTTAATCAAATTTACATGTGCCAGGCTGTGTGTTTTGATCATACGCACTGTGGGCAGGCAGGAGCAACAGGCAGGGGCCAACAAAAGCAACAGCAAATTTTGTGTGTAAAAATTGATTTATGCAATTGTTGTTTTGGGGCATGCAGCAGTGCTTGATTTGTTTATATGCGGCAGCAGCGAGCATGGCAAATCAATAAGTTTATGCAACAGGCAGAGAGGCAGAGAGGCAGACAGGCACCAACATTGATGGTGCGATAAAATCACAAGAAAGCACCAGAAAGACAATGCCTGCTACAATTTTGAACAGGGCTTCCGCAACAGCAACACACAGCCTGCCACACTGCCACACTTTAACATTTTTCGACCAGTTTTAACAGTGGAAAGTGCCACTCCGCCACTCCGCTCGCTTCTGTCTGATGCGCATGCGCATTTTTCAATTAATGATTTTCAGTTTCATTTTGATTTAATGCTGCCACGCACTTGTTGCTGCTGCTGCTGCTGCTGCTGCTGCTGGCTGTAAAAATTGCAATCATTTGTTAGACAAACATTTCTAGTTTTTTGAACGCTTTCGTTTGGCCTTTTGGCCAAACATTTTTGCATAACCTGGGCCTGGGTCAAGACGGAAATGCAGGCGGAGGCCGGGCCATTAATAATCTTTGGCTTTCGGGGCTCTGCCTGCTGGCTCGTCTTCAATGCGTCTGCCTCTGCATTTGCATCTGCAACTGCATCTGCGTTTTGAGAGTCTACAAAAAGCCTTTTGTTTTAATGGCCACAAACCAAAAGTCAGCCGCAAAGTCACAGTTAAAGTTGCAATTCTTTTTTTTACACTTTCAGCGATTTGTTGTTAGTCAACGAAGCCAGTAGCCCTGACATTTGCATATATTTTGTATTATTTTATTATCAAAGAAGAAATAAATTTTAATGAAATAAATGAAGTTTCAAGTATTTGTATGGCAAATTTGTGCAGTTTTTGAGTCTTAAAAACCCATTTAAAACCGATTTGAAAATAGATTTCCATGGGTATTGTTTAAGTTATTGCTAGAAAAGTTCCTCATAATCTGCATTCATTTTAAGCTCCCTAATATTCCCTCTCCCATCTGTTAGTGTATCTTCAAGTCGTCACTTTTGGTTCCATTTGGTTCTTTTTTTTTTCCTTTATCAGACTTGCACCGGGTGTTGTCCGGTGTTCAGTAGCCTCCGCCATAATCCAAATTAAATTGTCAAGAGAAATGACAATTCAATACACAAGATCTTGTTAAGTAAATATGAAAGAAAATACCAAAACAAAAAGCACTCTGTCATCCCCATGTCTGTCTGTCCGTGCGGCACTCGAGTAAAGAGAAGCAGAGAAGCAGAGAGAGAGGGAGAGTGAGCGCAAGAGAGAGTGAGCACAAGTCCGAGTGTGTGAGCGAGAGGTGAGCACCCAAAAAACTGTCAAATTAAACTGTCAGAGGCTGTCGGAGACTGGTAGCCCATTTTTTTGTTCGTGTGGACCATTACGTAAGCTACTTATCACTTGATAACTAGAAACATCCACTCTGCCAACACTTGAGCAGGGAAATGGAATGGAAATGCCAGACTGGGAGTGCGTAGGTGCTGCGCATAAATCAGTCCGGACATGCGGAGCTCTCATGCGTCAGCGTGACAAAAGACTTGGGCCACGAACTCCCCTCCCTGCCAAATGTGGCAACAGAATGCGTCTCTCGTGTGTGCTGTGCAGCCGTCGCTGTCGCATATTCTTAGCCATATGTGTGTGTGTGTGTGTGTGCTGCCCCCAAAGAAAAGATAAAACCCAACCCTATAATCCCTGCCCGCTGTTGAACTGCGCTAATTCGTGACTTACTTTGTGGTGCGACTGCTGGAGGACCCTCATAGACAGACAGTCGGACAGGAGCTGTATAACGATCGCTGGGAATGATCGCCACACGAATGCTGAATGCCCTCGCATTTGAATTTATGTTTCCCTCTTAAGCGACAGAACAAAGCTGGCATCTGTGTGTTAGATTCCCCAATGGAATGACCCAGCCAAGCCCTCCCTCGTGTGTTTGTGACTCATGTGGCGGCAGGCAGCCCACGCCACGCCCCGGGCCACAAACACTTTACTTTTGTTTTCACAAAAGAGTTGCAGAGTCCCAGTTGCAGTCCCAGATCAAAGCGACTCACAGACACACATGCAACAGTCGTTCTCTGGGCTGTTTTCGATTTTCGATCTCGTACTTTTTTCTTCTTCAGCATTCGACAAACGTTGTCGTCGTTGTCGTTGGCTGTCGTTGTCGTTGTCGTTGTCGCTTTCGTAGTCACACAGAGATAGAAATCGCATGACACGATCTTGTAGCCCGAAACAGGCGCCAGTAACCCAGTTTTCAGGTTTTTCAGCGCCATCGGCAAAACCAAACCAATACTCGGAATAAAAAAAACAACAACAAAGAAACTACTCCGATGACTCCCTTTTGGCCAAATGAAAATGAAACGTTTTGGGCATAAATAAATAATGACAACGGAGCGCCCCGAACCCGAACCACAAAAGGCAACAACAAATGATAGGTACCCCCCCAGTCCGCCAGTCCTCCTGTCTTTATATTTGCATTTGCTTTTTGCGCTACAACTGCCACAAAAGAAGGGGCATAAACACTTCTCCTGACTCTTGGCAGAGTCAAAGCTGTGA